ACACCATTGAAATATCCATACAAATTTTTTTCTGGTCAAAGAACACATTTCATAGTGAAAGAGATAAGACCATGGTTTAATGACTATGAGTTTCCTGTTCTTATCACATACACCATCATCCATAAACAACTGTCATTACAGAAGGGTGGAATGACCTATGGAAGATTTAGTTATAGCGACAGTTAGGAAACAACACTTTGTGAGGTCTGAGGGCCATTCTACAAAATTCATTGTATTCTCTGAATCAACAACCAATATATGATGCTCTTTCTCTTATAAAAAGAATACATAGGTCTAGGAACCAAAGGGTGAAAATGGGAGTGACACCTCTCATCAATTCACTTAGTGAAACTCTTGCAAAAATTTGATTCACAGGAGGTTGAGACTTTTGTCTGGCTATTTGGAGCTCCCAATGACAATGAACCAATAGGCATTAAAAGGCTGTTTGCTATGTGGCTGAGATGAGTGATTCTAATTAGCAAGGGAAAATAGGAAGTCTGTTACACAATGGGTAAGAAAGAGCATATTGGGAACCCAGGAGATTCACTGAGTGACCCTAGCACTTCCATGTCCAGTGGCAAAAGTTGAAGAAAGATTACAACAACCCAATAAAGGTAGGGTCTCCAAGAGATCAGATTTCACACAATCATTTGGAGGCAACCTCTAGAGTCCCTTAGGAGCATAATATGCAACTTGCTCCTATAAGTCATGTTCAGGATTGCTGCACCCAGTGGAGCAGGGCTTAATCTACTGTCTCTATCTATGAGTACTGGGGAATCTTCTGGGTGCTTTCATTCACGTTGTGTCCAGTAATAAGGTTAGAATAAGAATACAGGAACCATACACATGGAGAACCTGCAAGGGCCCCATGCTACCAAGGAAATAACCATGAGCAGATAAAGGCAGGTGCTTGTTAAAGGCAAGGGGCACACATGGATTCAAGACAAAGGTAAATTAGAAACACCAGATGTGGCCTCTGGGCTAGTTTCAGAACAAGGGCTATTCCCATCCTCCTCATTTCCTTCCTTGGGGGGGGGGGGGGTTGTGTGTGTGTGTGTGTGTGTGTGTGTGTGTGTGTGTGTGTGTGTGTGTTAGAATTTATTTCTATCCTCTTCATCTTTGCCCCACTGTAGAATACAGCATGTGCATGGAGGCTCAAAGTACAATTTAGTTCATAGCTTGTAGCATATCTACAAAGGATTGCAAGAAAATTAGAATAGGAAAAGGAATAGTCCAAAATTACTGGACTTGGAGCTGGAAATAGTAGGTGGTAAGATTTGCAGTAATCTCATTTTGGAGAAGGGGTGAATGGTGGTTATACATGAATTAGAATTAGAAGCATTATATTGAACCAAGGCATTTTTGAAAGTGTAAGTTTGGGGAAAAGTTTGCTATCTATTTTGTTCTTATAAATGTTTGGTTTCTGGTAGGTATTTCTTATTCTCTCTCTCTGTCTCTCCCTCCCCCAACCCTTTCCCTCACTACCCACATTCATTCTACCTTCTTTTATTCTGTTCACTAAGGAAATATTACTTTATGGCTTGCATTTTTAACTTTTAAATTCCAGGGGTGGAGGTGGATGGGGTGGTGGGTAATCACCCCCAAAAGGGTGAAAATTAACTCTTGGGGAGACAAAAAATAAGCTATTATGATAGTTTGTGGCCCTCTAAGGCTCAAGCCTACCTGATAAAATCTTAGTTCTGTTTTTATTTCTCTTACTGGGTTTTCTTGGGTATCACATGAGTAGCAATGATGCTGAAGTCATGGAAGGTACACAAAATGTACGAAAAGGGCAGCGTTACAAAACCTCGAAGAATAGATGGCTGTGATTGGAGGATTTACAATCCGTTGCTCCATTGCAATCATACAGTGAGAAGTGGCCTCCGTGTGTCCATTTGCTGCCATTGACTGCCTTTGATCCTCAGCTCCTTTGTTATTTGGACTTTGAGAATTAAATTAAAATAGTTTCTATTTAATTCTACAAGTTCCTCAATCCATCATTATTTATGTCAAGTACTGAAAAGAAAAACTGTTGACAATACCTAAAAATTAAGTTCACTAAAAAGTTTTAGAATAATTTAAAATTTCAATTGTTTTACTTTTGCTGTAAAAATATATCAGGAATAACTTTCCAAAAATTTATTATACAGCTATCATATCAGTTATAAAAATGACTAATTTTCAGGGGCACCTGGCTGGCCTGGTCAGGTAGAACATGTGATTCTTGACCTCAGGGTTGTGAGTTCAAGCCTCACATTGGGTGTGGAGCTTACTTTAAAAAAATGGCTAATTTTCATATGTAATTTGATACATTTCGATGTGAATTGACATTATAATGTAAATAAATTGCATTTAAAGTTGTTCAGCAAATAAAGTTAAATGCTAATAGCTTTTATGATTTTTAAACTAACTTTTAACTTAAACATGAGTCAACACTAGCCCTGTATTTAATTAAAAATATTTTATGTATAAAGCACAAATATATATAGTTATTAGATATATATGGTAGATCTATGGTATTGAAATTTCATGGGAGGGACCAATAGCAATTAGGACAAAATATCAAAAAAGGGTCCTTATAATGAAGTGATAATGAAGGAGTGATAATGAAGAATAGGTGGAGGGGCGCCTGGGTGGCTTAGTCGGTTGGGCGTCCGACTTTCGCTTAAGTCATGATCTCGCGGTTCGTGGGTTCGAGCCCCGCGTCGGGCTCTGTGCTGACTGCCAGCTCAGAGCCTGGAGCCTGTTTCAGTCTGTGACTCTCTCCCTGACCCTCCCCTGCTCACGCTGTCTCTCTCTCTCTCTCCGAGAAATAAAACATTAAAAAAAAATGAAGAATAGGTGGAGAAACTGTTCTAAGAGATCTTTCATCTCCTAGCCAAGGGAAAGATGTATAATATAACCTAGAATTCTTTGGGATTTAATAAATGACATAGTGAAAGAAAGAACAAAAATTGTGGGAGTTTATTCATTGGAGTAGTGGTGTCCAAGCTGACAAGTGGCAAAAATATGAACTGGAGTCTGTCCCCATTTCTTCTTCCCAGCTCTGGCCACTCACCCACTCGTCTGGAACCAGACTCAATCTCTTTTCCCCTGCTCCACATGCCTTCAGTCCTTACGTTTGGGGAGGAATAAGCCAACCCCTTGTCCTGTCAAATTTTAGGCCTTACATGAAGGAAGAAGAGGTGGAGAGCCCTGCAAGCCCATTGGTCTGCAGAGGGAAGGAGAAAGGGCATAATTCTCCCAGGACTATGATAACACTCTTAACTCTATCAAGCACTTTAAATTATCATAGAATTACAGTCCCCAAGTTCCTTGCCAGCCCCCATCACATCCCCATTCCATTCATCACCTGGAAATCTGAGGGGATCCTTGGCCACAGTACCCTTAGGTACTCTTAAGAAGAGTCCTTCCTAAGTCTAAGCTGTCTCTGACCTTGTCTACCTCTCCCAGGTACTACCCAGCCCCTGAAGAAACCGTGGTCCAAGAAAGCAAAGAAAGAACCTCTGCTTCCAGTGAAAAACATCTCAGCAGCAAAAGCAAGTCTCAGTTCATGGCCATAGGCAAGGAGCTGCCTTGCTTTAAATGGAGGTGGGTTTTGTTTTAGATTGTTCCTTTATTCCTGACTTTACAGGAGGGAAGAGGCAACCATTACTAGGTCCTCCATAAGACTCTGTCCCAGTGATTAGGGTCTGGTATCAGAGGATTAGAGGGCAGGGGCTTCCTGGAGAGAAAGGTCCAGGGAAATACTCACCCAAACAGGATGAAGGTGGATCCTGGAGTGTCTGAGGGCCCTATGCTTTAGTAGGCAGTGTAGCTGGGAGGACACCTTCAACCACACAAGTGTACTTTGGCACCTGGTTCCAAGTGTTCCTCTCTACCCCAACTCCTGCCACCATCCCTGGTGATTTCACTGTCCACATGAATAACCCAACCAACACCCTGTTCCCCCAGGCTACTGACCCCTCCCTCATCTCTAGGAAATGTCTTCACTCCCATTTAAGCACCCATTCCTTAGGCCTTACCATCACTTTCTCTCTGCTCTGTCTTCTTAAATACAATCATCCTACTGTCTGACCATAGGACTAGTCCCTAGTTCATCCTTCCAGTTCTGTCAACACCTCTTCGCAGATACCTAGAACACTGCCAGACATATAGCAGGCACTTGATATTTGGTGTATTTCTTTAACATTCTGCTGTCAAGTCTTCTACCTACACTCTCTCTCAATTTCCTCATCTTCCTCCCCAAGCCTGCCTGAGTCCCATGATCCATCTCTTACACCATTTTGTGTATCTACTGTGTCAGACACTGTGCACAAATTAATGAAGATACAGACCCACATACTCACTGCCTTTGATCTTGTGTCCTTATAAACCTTGGGATAAACAAACTCATCTTGATTCCAAGATTACTGAGCACCTTGCCACGGAGTAAAGTTTTCCCAAAAATCATAGACTCCATCCTCTATTGGGGCCTCCCCAATGCCTTCCACAGTCCCCTCTCCAAGTCCTTTCTTGACAGTCCATTCTCCCAGACCTTACCCTCCTAACTCCTCAGGGCTACATGAGTCAATCTTTAACATCTCCCTCTCTATTGGGTCCTGCCCACTCAAACCTCTGTTTTCTTTCCAAAGAAAATCTTGATTTATTCCCTTACCCCCCTTAAGTACCGATCTCTCTTCCCTGTCTTATTCACATTTCTCAAAAAGAGAGCCTATACTTGATGTCCAGTCTCCTCTACCTCTGCTTTCTGTTCCAGACTTGCCCACTTCACTTCTTTAGTGTGTCCTCTATGCTTACAATCCTCATGACTCCCCACCCCATTGCAGTCCTGCCTGTACTGCAGACTAGAGTTGGGGCCCAAGCTATCCCAGAGAGGCATGCTCATCTTGCTCACCTGAATCCAATAAATATAGATTGAGGTAGAAACTCTCTCATTTCATTTTTAAATGTGATACCAAAACGTGACAGCCCACCAAAACAACAACAAAGCAACAAACTCAGAAATGGCAAATAGATTTAATGTAGAGTGTCGACTTCAATTGATTGATAGTGGCTGCCTAGAGTGCTGTGTTGAATATGTTTCTGAGGATGCACCCTGGCTCGAAGAGAAAGACTGCTGGGATTAGGAATATCTGAAAACACAAGTAAAATAAATTGAAAAGTCAACTGATAGCCATCAAAAGGAAAGAAATAAAATGCCAATAGGGGGGTTTTCCCACATGCAACCTTGGCCTTCCTATAACCAGCCAGTTCCTCATCCCAACCCCATAAGCTCAAGCCATCCCAACCCAGTCTAGGTAGATACCTGAAATCTCACTTATAGGAGAAACCACAGGCACCAGAGCTGCCACTGGTGCTGGCACCAGCTCCACCAAGGCCCGCGAAGAGCCCAAATGTGAGAGTAGCAGTCAGGCTGGCACTGGCACCGAAGCCACCACTGGCGCTAGCACCGGCACTAGCACCAGAGCTAGCACTACCACTCTCTTGGGCTTTGGCTTTAGCTTCAGCTCCCGCCTGGATCCGGGCTTTGGCCCAGGGTCCAATATCAGCTTCGTCCCAGTTGCAGGGCCCAGCAGCATTTTCAGAGCCAAGCCCAATGCCCATTTGAGCTCTAATCTCAGCTCTCGCCTTGGCTTCAGCTGCAGCCTCAGCAGCAGCCTTCATATCTGCTTCCATCGCCTCTCGGTACTGAGCTGCCCATTCCTTGGGATCCTTCTTTTGGACCTGAAACAGAAATAACCACCATCAGAAGGATCAGAATCTAACAACTGAGCACCTATTTTATGCTAGGCACCATGTTACATGCTACACACAATAATAACAACATAATAAATACTATTAGTAATTATGTGCTTAAGGTTCCATCCCTGCTCTGACATTTATTAGCTGTGACCTTGGACATGTTACCTAACAACCTCTGTGAGCCTGAGTTTTCTTATCTGGTGTAGGATAATGACATTAGTTGTACAAATTAAATGATTCAGATAGATGGCACATTAACAGGCTTCAGAATGTTTGTGTATGAGCTGCAGGATGCTATACACACAGCCTACTCTAGCCAGTGGGACCCCATGCACTTGATATGCCAAGTTTGGGCAGCTATCCAATTACCTTGCAGGCAAACTTGAGGACTTTCATCTTGCTGGTCTCATAGTAGGAGCGCAGGCCCCAGAAGAACTCATACTCAGGGGGATTGCTATTAGGGACTCTGGCATAGTCCAAGTACCTTGAAAAGAGAAGTTGAAAGCCTTTATGTCTAAGACAACCACAGCCCACCCGTGTATGGACTGGACATCCCCACTAAATACTATAGATTTTCTTCCAATATTGAGCCCTATCCCATTGGTCCTGACCACAAGCCATGTGGAGGTACAAGATGAGATACATGTAGGGTATCTGTTCATAGGAAGGCCACAAGTTCTGTGCCCTTTAATTCTTGTTGGGTGTGTTGTAAACAGAGGAGCCATTTCTTCACGCCCCCTGTTCTGAGCACACCCACCACTGGGGAGTCTATAACCCGGTGAGACCTGGGACAGTCCACCACAGAAAATGACTATAAAGGGAAGAAACAGTCCACCAAGAGTAGCGTATTTTGTGCATACTCCCAACTGTGTGTGTATATGTGTATGCACATGCACATGCAGGTACATGCTAATGTCTCTGTGTGAGTGCATATGTGCTAAGAAACAAAGACACAATGGGCCCTGGCTAGAAAGTCAAGAGGGCTCCATGACCAAATGGGCCCATTACCAGCCAGGGCCACAATCAAACTTCCACTCTCTGAGACTCAGGTCCCTCAACTGACAATGGGGATGGGATGACAGCACCTATACTGCAGGGTAATTATGAAAATGAAATGAGATACACAAGTCAAGCCCCCAGCATAGTACCTGGCTGCCTAAAGCTATCATTCTATAGCATTTCTTTATGGACATTAACTTCTATAAAGCTCTGGTTAGCACAGTAAAAAGAACCAAGGCACTGGGGCCAGTATCAAAATATGACTCTTCCATTTGTTACCTGTGTAACCTCCTAAGCAAATTACTTCACCTCTCTGAACCTCAGTTTACTCACATGTACAATGCTGGTGATGACAATCCCTACCCTGAAGAATTGCTCTGAGGCATATGTGAGAGTACACGTTGGTCAGGGAATGTGTCTTCCTGTTCACTCTACCTCAGGAATAAGCTATCTACTACCTGCCATACACACATATACACATGCCTAAGCACATGCACCATAGCTTAATCACTCAGCTCTGGAAACAGGAAAAACACATGGAACACACCATCACCAGATATACACTTACTTTTGTTTCACAAACTCATCAGTAATAAGCTTCTTCACATCCCCAAAAAGTGAGTGATGTATCCTGATAGCAGAAAGAAAAATCCATCAATAAGTCAATTAATCAATCAATTAATCAGATATGGCACTTCGCAGATGTATGCAGACGCATTTTCAACAGAGAAAAGAGGTTGTTAGCATAAGAGGAAAACTCCACAGAAGCCCAAGAGATAGTGAGACAGGGGCAGAGTTAGGGACCATTTCCCCATCCACCAAGGTCAGAACCCTGGACCCTCTACTAGCACCCCTGCCCACTCCACCAGACCACCAGACTGATGCAATCCAGGGACCATCCTCTCTCGTCAAAGGACAACATGGACAGCAAGCACTGAGAGAGCCCAATCATACCCAGGACGCAGCCCCAGCTTGCGCAGCACCTCCCAGATGACAGCTGCAAGGGAAGGCAAGAGGAGACAGGGACAGAAAATGAACATGTGGAATTCCAACTGTGGCCACCCATTCAGCTGCATGTCCAGCCACTCACCCTCACTAGACCGATTTCCATTCATAAAAATAATGCTAAGAAGCACCATGAGAAGACCCAGCTTTGGTGAATCCTTAGTCCTAGGAAAATAACAAGGTAGAGATGAGGTTTATGTCCAACTACTAGCCACAAAAAACACACCTGCCAGTTCACTAAACTAGCCTCTCCCAGATTCCTCAGACATGAGAGAATTCTGCCCAGTCTATGCTTCAAGCTCTGTGTGACCCTGGGCAAGGCACTTAAACTCTTGAGCTTCAGTCTCCTATTGAGTAAAATGGGAAAATCCAATCCTCCCCTGGAAGATGGAAGAATGCCTGAAACCTGGTACAACCCAGGCTGGGTGAGTCTCTCCATTCTCTCCCAGATCCCTCTGCCCCACGAGAATTCTAGGCACAGCCCCAGTGATGCTCCTGTCCTTTAAGCATCATGATTCACCCACACCAGAAAACTTTCTTTTGAGAACCACTCTACCAAAGCCAATAGGATGAGACAAGCAATGACAGGCCTACTTTCCTGGGAAGCTTCTGGAGAAACAGAACACCTAACAGTAGGAATGCACTGCTCCAGGCTTCTACACCCTTCAGTCAATCATGATCAAGCACCACTACTATGTGCAGGGCTCCAACTATGTGTGTGAGCTGGGAGAGGAGCTTTTCAGGCCCTGTCTTCCTGTCTCTCCAAGGAGATGTGGGTAGAGATGACAGGGATGGGATAGTGCCATAGACAGAAGCAGAGCCTCCCTCCCACCCCAGCCCTTTCCCAGCTTACGTTCCCAGTATGCCTGCATCAGTGGGCTCTAAGGTGCTGAGAAGAATGTACAAGTGGTCATTCTTATCAATTTCCTTCAACTGAATCCCAAATACCTACGGATGGGGAGAACAGCTTGTGAGATCACAAATTCAGCTTCCTGGGCACCCCACAGCTCCCCCTGTACCTAGGTATGTTGGGGTGCGTGGGTATGCATGTGTGTGTGTGTGTGGATGTGTGTAAGGGGAAGGGATCAGTGAGATAATGTATGTAAACATAAAGTGATCAGCACATAGCAAATAAGTAAGGAATGTACTACTGTTATCAGCATCATCTCTGTGATTAGCAGGAATCTAGGGAGACAGAGAATGGGGAATGGAAGGAAAGAGATGAGCATGTGAAATACATTTCATGACATTTCCAGCAGCAGACAGAAACCAGGACTAAGTTGGGTGGCTTGGGTCCTAGCTGTGCTTTTGCCAGACTTGCTATGTGACCCTGAGCTAGTCTATGCCCCTCCTCAGGCTACTATCTACACATCCACACAGTTATGGGACTGAATTAATGAGAGGTCCCACCCCCAGAAGAGACATGTACACTTGTTTAATTCAATGCTTCCCCATCGCATCCATCCCCCATGGCTGCCCCTTCACCTTCTCCAGGGAATAGCCTGCTCGTTCAATGATTTCAGGGTACACATCAGTGTATTCTTTGATGATGTCCTTCAGCATGTCTGCAAGGGGAGAGTGTTGCAAGCACCTAAGCTGAAGTGAAGCCAGGTGGCCCCAAAACCCAAGCTAAAGACCCATTGATAACGCTGCTATGGGTGGCACAGACAGGTTCTGAAGTAATGCTGGCACTGCCAAATTAGAACTTTGGGAATACAAAGGTAGGAGCATCAGGGGAAGAAATGTCCTCAGCACATGGGATAGCGGGCAATGGAGAGCACAGCTTGGGGGATGGAGGGTTAGCAGGACGCTACCTGAGCGTTTGATGGGAATCTTCGTTTGGTCTTTAACCAAGAGGTACTTTACCAAATCGTTTGCCTGGATAAGGGAAAAAAAAAGGTTGAAAGACCAAAGTATGTTTGCAAAACATTTGAGAAGAAGGCAGAAAAGACAGGCAAGGCAGTAGATAAGGCAGAGTAGAGGACAGCGTTCTTACCCTCCCCTGCAAAAGGGCCACATCCCGAGGTGGTGGTGCTTCAGGCTCTTGGGATGACTGGAGCTTGGCAGCTCGGCGGCGAGCTTTGCCCCTACGGGCCTTAGGTGATCTCAGGGAGAGCAAAGCCCTCCGGGCCCAAGCAGCCAACCGAGTCCTTGATGCTCTGCGGGCCCAAAAGGCTATGGGGCCTCTTGAAGCCCTGCGGGCCATTGAGGCCATTAGGGCCTTTGAGACCCTTCGGCCAGCTGTGGTTCCAGAAGCCTGACTCTGATCACTGCTGCCATCTTCTTCACCATTCAAATGCTTCACCTGCATCAATAGAGAGAAAGCACAATATTGTCAGATAAAGTAGACGTTCCTTCTCCCTTATCCTATTTTTTCCAGAAGGCCCCTTTAATCCCACCCCTGTAGTAGCAGCCTGACTAGACATTGGCCATATTGACTCTTGGGTTTGTTTTTCACAGACTTCCAGGCAGGAGTTTCATCTCTTCACCAGGCCAGTAGCAACGTAAGGATGGGGCCTGAGGATTCTCCCCTCCCTATATCCGCCAGTGCTCTGCTTGTACCACCCTTGATAAATCATTCCACCTCTCTGGGACTCAGCTTCCTTCTCTATAAAACTGGATTATTTTCAGGATTTAATGAGATAACCTGCATGAATGTGCCTAGCTCAAGTTCTAACACATGGTAGCTACTATGTAAATACAAACTGCTTTATATTCAGATTGCAACTATGTGTACTATCTCATTTCTCCATGATCTGTGAACTCTGTAGAGAGAAATTCTATCATATTCCTCTTATTGTTCCCCAAAGCCTTGATGAGCACAGGAAAATTTCTAAATGTTTGCAAAACAAATGAACCAACTGGTAGAAATGGAAAAGGAAGAGTGATGATTACAGAGGTCTCACCTTTCTGGCTTTCTTGGCCTTGACCTTGGGCCGAGTATCTTGATTCTCCTGAGCCTGAGCAGCTGTACCCTCAGGCTTAGTTTCATCTGCCAAAGCCTGAGAGGCAGGAGCTTCAGGCTCCAGGACCTTTGTATTAGCCACACAGCTGACCTTTTTGGTCTCATTGGCAGGCAGTGTCACAGGCTGAGGGTCAGCACTCTGCATCTTGGTGTCAGCTGCTGGACTCTTCTTTTCAGCTGCCAGGACCTGGGTATCAGTCAGCTTAGTGGTAGGTGAGGCCTGAGTGGCAGCTGTCTCCTGAGCCTCTGGAGTCTTTGAGACCTCTGTGGCCTTTGAGACTCCTGCAACATTTGAGACCTTCATGGCTTCTTGGACCTCCGGTGCCTTTGAGGTCTTCTGTGTCTCTGAGACCTCCAAGTTCTGGGTCACTGTCAATAGGCTCTGTATCTTCAAGCCACTGTCCTTCTCTGGAACTTCAGTCTGCAAGAGGAAGCAGGAAAGCTCACAGACCTTCTCCCCACCCCCAAGTAAGCAAATGGCTCCAAAATTCCAGGCCTCACTTCTCTGACCTATACTAACTCCAACTTGTGATGTGCTCTGCCCACCTAACCCCAACAAGGCCTCTTTCTTCCGAGCAGGAAGTGATGGCGGAAGAATGGCAGGCCTGCCCTCCCTCCCTCCTTTTTTCCTACATCCTTCCTTCCTTCCTCCCTCCTTCTACAGGATGGGGGGAGGGGCACCCAGGCAGGAAAGTGGGTAAAAAAGGACAAGGATGGGAGGGGAGGTGCCAAGGGAACTGAAACAACAACAGGGACTGGAGAAGAAAAGAAGCAAATGAGAGGAAGGAAGGTGGACTTACCTGGAAGCGGGTTGGACCCGTACCTTTTTCGCTTGTGTCAGACATATCTCAAGTTGGCCTGGCAAGAGCTGAGCCTGAGGAAAGAAGGCCTGGGTTAAAGGGGGAGCCTCCAGAACGTACTCCCTCCAGTTCTACCTGCAAACTGATCTTCACTTTCCGTAGGGCCCCATTCCCAAACCCCTCCCCCACCCTCAATGACTCCGTCCTCAGATTCAGTAATCCAGAGCGTCTAATTCTCAATCCTCTACAGCCGCACCCTCCCCTCCTCCAGGAAGATGTGCCAGCGCGGCAGCTGAGGACCCCGCCCCTTTTCCCAATACACCCCCCCACCCAGCTGCAAGCTAACAGTGCGCATGCGCATTCGTTGCAAGGTCCACCTCAGCCCCGCCCGCTTTCCCAGCACAAGCTTTCTTTGATGTCCACCTTGCACATGCGCATTCGAAATCTGCCCCGTCTCCATGCTGGCTCTTCTCTACACGCCCCTTCCTAGCTATTCATAGTGCGCATGCGCAATGGTCCGGCCTCTGTCCACCACCCTTTCCAACACAGGCCCTTCTTTAGGTCCGCAGTACCATTACGTCCCGCCCCCTCCCCAACAAGCTTCCCTCTAAAATTATCGCAGTATCTGGTGGTCCTGGCCCCTCCCCTACGCACACCAACCCCAAGTCCACAGTACCGCCAGGTCCCGCCCTTTTTCACAACACGCCCTCTCCAACCAGGGGCAAAGCGCATCTTGGTTCCGCCTCTTCCTTAATATACCCCCTCCTCAAATCAGAAAGAAGCCTGTGATTCCATCTTGGGCCCAGCCAAACCAGGTCCAGTCCCCTCCCTTCCTATCCGGATGGATCCGGTACGATCCGGTCCCTACAGCAGGTTTTCTCCAGATCCCAGAGGGTGGGGCTCTGGGTCACAGAGCCCCTACTGGGCTGCGATCCAAAGCTGGGCCCCGCAGCTCACCTCCTTCTCCTTAAAGAACAGTGCGTTCACTCTCCAAGCCCCTCCAAAACTCCTAGACTGCCCTCCCCGCTCCAGGCCGGAAGTGGTCCCGCCCCTTTCCGCCTCCCCAGGGGGCCTCCGTCGCAGCCAGTCTGCCCTCCCCCCTCTCTGCTCCTCATTCCTTACCACCCCCACCCCCGTATTCCTCCAGCCTTGCTTCTTGCTCCCTATTACTCCCCACATTTCCTATTTACCCCCCACAGAATTCCCTATCCCCATTCCTTACATCCTCCTCCGTGTTACCTATGCACCCCCTTCCTTAATATTCCTTAACCCTTCTCTGCTTTTCCTATTTTCTTCTGTGGATTTCCACTTTCCCTCAATATTCTCCTCCCCCTAATACTGCCACTTCGCCACCCAACAAGTCCGGTTCCCCGTTCTTCTCCCCCACCTCCCGCACTAATCTCTAATCCACAGTCCTACCGCCTACTACCCTCTGTAGTCTTCTTTGCCTACATCTCGCTCCAGGTTATCTCTACCTCAGCTGCAGTGGTGCAGTAAACATTGCCCACCTGCCTGGCTATAGGTTCCAGGGGGCTGAAACCACTGGCTGCCAGGAAACCTAAATCTCAACGCCCCTCACCTTGTCCTCGAGCAAGTCCGGAATGCGTCTGCCCTCTCAGTCCTTCTCAAAGTCTCAGCCTCCTAGACTGGAGCTGCAACCAGCCCAGCCCAGCCCCTTTCCGCAGCCCCCTGTCGCCCCCCCTCCTTCCTTGGGGGTGGGGCAAAGGGGCCCAGCTCAGGGCTGTCTGACTCCAAAGCCCGTGTTTATGCCACAGTACCAGGCTAGGTCTGCAAACCTTCCAACCAAAACCACACCCTCAAAGCGACTCATTGATTGAATTTATTTATTTTTATATCTTTATTTTTTCTTATTACAAGGGTAATGTGAAAATTCAAATAATGCAGAAATATGTAATATACCAATGAAAGGCCACTCATCTCATTTCCCAGAAATAACCATTTTTAACATTTTGATATACAGCCCTCCAGATTGTTTTCTATTCATACACTAATTATTTGGATTTTCTCCCCACAAATGGTATCCTATCCCTACTGTTCTAGAATCCGGGTTATTTTTTTTCCAGTTATGTATTCTAAACATATTTCTGTAGTGCACATTTTTCTTAACAGCTGCATAGACTTTTCTTGCATAGATAGTCCATAATATTTAACCAGTCCAGGTCTAGGATACATGGATATGGACATTCAGATGGTCTTCCCCTCCCTTTGCTATTATAAGCAACACTACAAGGAATTTGTAGTGTCTGTATTGGGCTTTTTTTGGTTATTTATGGTATTATTTTGCTTACTCAAATGCTACAAAAATGTCTTCCATTTAAAATTTGTCAACTTACTCTCAAAAGGTACATGGAATAATGTAACCACCGACAATGTCTCTCATATGTTTATGTGTCACATATATAACAAATATTTTTTCATGTTATTGATGATAATCTTTGCTATACAAAAGGATTTAATTATTATGTGGTGTCCTTTTATCACAACTGAATTCTGCTTCATGCTTAAAGATGCTTTCTGCACTCCTATATTATAACAATCCCTGTTTTTTTCAAGCACTTTTTTGGGGTTCAGTATTTACATTTGTATTTTCTGATTATTCCAAAATTTGTTTTGTAAAAGAATTCAGCTTAATTATTTTCCAAAATCACAGTCTCTTATCCCTATACCATCTACACATTAATCCATCTCCCCCCCGCCACTGATTTCAAATGGCACTTTGTCACATAATAAATTCACGTAAGTAATTGGGTCTATTCAGGAAAACAAAATAAGATATATAAATAACAGAAAGTAGATAAAATTATCATTAATTATAGAGTGTATGAATGCAGACCTGGAGAACCCAAGAGTTTAAAAAGTTATTAGAAAACATAATTCAGCACAGTGGTTAGTTACAGAAATAATACTCAATACCTTTCTTACATTAAAAAATAATTCAAATGGTCATAAGCCTTCTGCTTTATGAGGTAACCTTTTCCTTTACTAAGCTAATAAAATATCAATTTCTATATTCTATGGAAAATTCACACACATACGTGCACGCACACGTCCCAGTCATTAAAGATGGGCCTCTGTTCTCCACAGGGCTTTATTTCATACTAGACACAGACCCTCCTTTTCTTCCTGTTGTAGGACCCAAATTTCCATTGCTTCCAAATCATAGCAAGCCTTGAATGCCAGGATAAGGACTTTGGTCTTGATCTTGAGAGCACTGAAAGGTTTTTGAAGGGTTTAATGGTTTGATACAACACAGATTTGTGTTTTAGAAGGAACACTTTAGCTGCCTAATCCATAAGGAGTATAGATTAGATGTCTACCTGGAAACAGGGTGAGTAGTCATCTAGGTAAGCTATGATTGTGGTTTGGCCTAGAGTGGTAGCAGTGGATATAGTGAGAAATTGTTGAATTCAGAATATATTAAAGAAGTAAAAAGCAACAAGACTTTATGAATAATTGGGTGTGGGGAAAGGGGGAGGAGGAGGGAACCATCAAAGGGAACTCTTGGGGATCTGATTTGAGAGATCAAACATGTTAATGGTAGCCCATTTCACTGAGATATGGAATACTAACAAATGAGAATACTAACGGGGGAACATTGATATTAAGACAGCTGTGGGACATTCAAGAAGAAATATTCCACAGACAGTTGAATATGCACGTCTGAAGCTCAGGAGAGAGGTCTGAACTAAGGTTACATATCTAGAAGTCATCAGTATATAAATGGTTCTTTAATCTATTGAAAGGGCAATAGCACCTGAGGAGAATATTTAGCTTTAGAATAGATGGGGCCTAAGGAAGAGCCCTGGAGACCAGCAGTAACTATGGCATAGGTGGAGAAAAAGAAACTCACGAGAGAGATGGATAAGTAGTGACCAAAGAGATAGGGAGAAATGCAGGAGAAAGTAGTGTCACAAAACCAAGGGGGAATGAATGTTTAAGGGCATCTGGGTGACTCAGTTCAGTGTCTGACTCTGGATTTTGGCTCAGGGCATGATCCCATGACCATGGAGCCTGGTTAACATTGTCTCTCTCTCCCCCACTATTCCTCTCTTCCACTTGCTCTCTCTCTCTCTCTCCTTCTCTCTCCCTCAAAAAAAAAGTTAAGAAAATGTTTCACAAGGAGAGGGGGTGGTCAATAGTGTTGAATACTACCAAATAGATCAAGAAAATTCCTTAAAAAAATCTAGGGATTTTAACAATCAGGTGGTGATGGTCTGGTCACTGATAACCTTGGAGAGGATAATTTCAGTACAGACATTTGTGGAATAGATTGCTAACTGGTTACCCTAATATCCATTTTTATCATCTTCCTCAGTAACAAAACATCTTTAAAAATATTTCTAGTTTTAGCTGGACACATAGCCCCCTAGAATAAAGCCCATAAGGACAAGGGTCAAATCCTAAGAATAGTGGAATAGTAAACTAAAAAGAACTTGGATTTCTAACAATTTCATGGTGCCACAGTCCCAGCTTTGGACCGTCTACCCTCTAGATTTCTTTTAGGTGAGATAAATATATGTATGCCTTATTGATTTGTTTTTTTTTTTTTAATTTTTTAATGTTTTATTTATTTCTGAGAGAAAGAGAGAGAGAGAGAGAGAGAGAGAGAGACAGCATGGGCGGAGGGGAGGGTCAGAAAGAGAGGGAGATACAGAATCTGAAACAGGCTCCAGGCTCTGAGCTAGCTGTCAGCACAGAGCCCGATGCGGGGCTCGAACCCACAAACCCTGAGATCATGACCTGAGCTGAAGTCGGATGCTTAACCGACTGAACCACCCAGGCGCCCCTATGTATGCCTTATTTAAACCATTGCTACTGGGGAGTCTATGCCATGTAGTAGTTTCATGATTACAGTGAGTTGAGATGTCAGTGGTAGGTGAGGTATACATGACAATGAGTATAGACTACTCTTTCAAGAAATACCTGAGCCTGATTTCAACGTTCTCCCAAAATTTATCCCTAACTAGTTTTTCAGGCTTTTTCTTTCTGTTTTTCTAAATACTGCCTATATTCAAACCAAACAAAACACTTAGTATTACCAGATAAGCCTTTGCTTGCTTAGGACGCTTTGTAGAATTTCTTCCCCATGGAACACCGTCTATTAGATCTATCCTATGTTACAATTGCCACCATTTTAAATTCCACATTTTAAGTCCCAATTGTGGCCTTTGGGATTCTGGAGTAACTTTAAAGGAATACAGAGTCATAACCTTAGGAGATATTGGATTCAAGGGACTCAAGTAAAATCTCAGTTCAAGTCCATCAGAGAGGCTTTCCCAAAGATTTTTAAAGCCAGACTTCCCAGTTCCTTCTCAATACCACTGTCTCCCTAACATAGTTCCATAGCCACCCTTATCTTATGAACTGAGGATCAGAGGACAGGAAGAAATCTTATCAGAGAGAAAAAACAAATTCACTCATAATCTTCACCCTTTGACCAGAGAGATTTCCTTCCATCTTCTCCTTGTGAACTCTTGGAATCTTTTGATCTTTAGCACCTACCCATAAAATATGAAGAACCTAGGTCACTGGGTCCCACAAAGTTTCCAGCATCCACACATGAGCAGGCAAATACCTGAAATCATCTAGGTCCTACACATCAACTAAGGACAAAGATGAAAAGCGGAGTTATCACCAGGGAGCTCTGTTAAGGAGATAAGGAAAGACAGGGTAAAGATTGCTTAGTGCAGAATGTCAGGGGATGAAACTGCCTAATTCTGGAACATCTAAGATTTTAGACCCCTGAAGCTTAAATGGAAAGCCCAGAATATCCTTACCACCAGTCCACTCCTAACACATTCCCTTCTGCCAAACTATACAAAGTAAGTACCTCTGAAAAATTCAGGCTAGAAGTGAGTGGCAAAGGTTTCTTTCCAAGGCTACCTATCAGTTTTTTTGTCGTCTAAGTCTCCACAGCATAACAATTAGCTTAAAATTTGATATCAGACTTTCCTGTTTTTCATATTTTTTCAGCTATCCCATCACTGGGAAAGGCCTACTAAACATCCCTTTTCCTGGGCCCCACTCCTCATTGCTGTTGGGCCCTTTCTGTCCCTGAACATGTTGAGGGACTCCTATTTCCAATTTCCTGGTTCCTATGTCCTTGTTCTTGAGCTGCTGATGGAATCTCATTTTTCTTCCTTTTGTGTGCAGGGCAATTTAATTTACTTCATAATACTCTAAGCTCAGAGAGCTATCTTTCCACAATCAAAATGACTGCATTTTGTTAAACCAGAGGCAAATTTCCCATAGTTGAGGAAACTGGCTACTCACTTTTACACTAACATGCCTTCTCCCCTGCTCTTTGTACATTGAGTCTTTCCTCCGCACATCATTTTGTGTCATTCAACAGTCACTGAGCACCAACTATGTATTAAGTATCTCTATAGAGGTTGTCTTTGCACTTGAGGGGCTTTCATTTCAATGTAAAATGAGTATTAGTCTCATTTTACAAGGGAAAACATTGGGGGTGAAGGAGATAATTTACCCATGACAAAGCAACTAACAACTAGTGAATGTCAGAGAGAGAACTTGAACCCAGGTCAGTACAATGCCAAATACAAGAGCCTTCACCACTATGCTGTACTATTTCCAGTGTTTTAAGTTCCAGAATATCCTTTCCAACGCTCTTCATAAACACATATGAGGTACATTAC